ACCCCAAGTTTCTTTAAAGTGTGAAAGCAGACCTTGTCAAGTCATAGATTAAGATATTGATGATTGCTCTTGAAGGTCCATATAAGTCCACATGTAGTTCCATCTCAAAACCAATTGGCAATGAGGGAAGTAACACGTGGAGTATATATGTTGGTCAAAGTTGGGTTTCTATTTTCAATGTAGTACAAGTGTTTTCACTTGTTTTCAAAATCAAAGGGAATTTTAACACCCCTTCTCAAGCCCAAAGGGTTTGGACAAGACCCTTTTTAACAATCAAAGGCCAATATGGGTAATATATCAAAGCCCAATATGGGTAAATCAAAATACTCAGATATACTGCCGGGTCAGTCAAAATCCAATACGGAAAAATATCAATACGAATAAATCAGAATTCTCGGATATACTGTCGAGTCAAACAAAGCACAATAAGGGTATAAATCAAAGGCCCAGTATGGATCAGTCAAACCGAGAAACTATCGGATCGATCAAAGGCCACCCACAAAGTCCGCGTATAAAACTCACTCTAATAGCATCTTGAAAGCCCATATAATCACACATGTGGTTCCACCTTAAACCCAATCAGCACATGAAGTATAGTTGGGTTCCTGTTTTCAATGTAGTATAAGTGGCTTTCACTTGTTTTTAAGTTCAAACGGTGATTTTAACAATTGCATGGGTGGAGAAGTGTACTTCTGACCATAATATTGCTGAGCTGATCATGGCAAATATCACTGAGTATGACATCTGGAGTCTTTGGAACAAAGTTTGCTAAAAGTAAATTGAACAATTCCGATTACGACCCAGGTTGCCACTTCTTCTTTATTCATCAACAATTGTTTTTAGTACTAAATGAAATCAATTTATATAGCTATCAATATCATTGGTTATTGCAGTTAGCTGGTGGAAGATATTTGGCTACGACGCTTCCTTTGAATTTGTTAGTCGTGTGTTCAATCTAAGTTGAAGCTTATCAAGAAGCTTATCCAAGGCAACCATGGTTGATTTTGATGAACTGCATGAGACCAGGGATTCTTTGCAGTGTCAGAGGCTTGGGGACATTGTTTCAGTCCAGTGTAATTCGTGGCTGGAGGATAGGTAAACAGAACTGTTTGTAATTCTTGTATCCTGGTAGAGGACTGATTAGAAAGATGGAAGCGACACTGCAAATGTATTCTCCTGTGTAAGGATTCCGAACATAAAGATCATGAGTCTTTGGATCCCCACATGTGTTCGAGCTCTGATCCTCTTGTTGATTGGATTATGGAGTCTGAAACTGGCCTGAAAGGCCCAGTTTTTTCAGATTGGCAAAGAGTTCTGCCACCTCGGGGCAACATAATGCTGTTGCTCTGAAGATGATGATTATGAAGCCCTGTGTGCAGGTAATGAATATCATTTACTAATGTCCTTTCAGCCTCCAATTATTATTGTTCTGGTGAAAACCTTCAGTGTGTGGATGATTTCTGGAATTTTGAGAGGGAGGCCTCTTTCTTTGTTAACGTTTGGGCAAAAATGTACAGGGTTTGATGATGTGGATATTTTCACTGGTTGAGCAGACAGTTTGGCAGCAAGCTCTGAGGACTAGGCATAGGTTTTGCATTGACGATCATTTTTCCTTGATTGTGGGTTTCATTCTCTTCTTTCTCAGGGGAAAACTGAAGGTACCTTTGATTGCTCATGAGACTATGTAAATAGCTATGCTTAGTCATTTGAATATTTGTCAGTTGATTGCACGAGAACACGAAAACCTTCGATATGCGACTGATAATGCGATACTGATCTCTTAGGCCCATTTAATTCTTAGACCCTTCAATTGCAGTTAACCCTCTACAATAAGGATACCACAACTTTCATCACTGAGCATAAGTTTGTGGCTCAAGGAAATGAGAGCATTTAGTGTGCAAGCAATTCTCGCACCATGTAGTGAGATTCTTTAAGATTCTTCTCCTCTGTTGAGTCAACAGCAATGGTTTGATTCATTAGTAGGTGTTTTGATACATTTTGAGTTAACAAATACAAGTACAAGGTAACTTTGTGTTTCTTTTATTATTTCCTTGCACTTTTGTCTTAATATTCAGGCAATTGTGCTGAATGTTGATTGGGCAATAGGAAACTGTGTGTCCCTTTTTCTGCTGCCTTTGGTATTACGAAACGCGGTATTAATTGTAGGATCAAGTTGGAATTTACTGTGCCACAGCCATAAAATAAGTCATATTTGTAATTTTGTATATAATTACCAAATTGTATAAGATTTATATAGCTAGACTTTGGGATTTATTCTAGAGTTTGAATTTTGCTATGTGGTAGAAAGGGTTTTGTAGAGTTGTGACAAAAATAAAATAGTAAAAGTGGGGTGCAGCTATAGTGTCGGATCAGATGAGGCCTCTTAGTGCTCATGAGGGAATTATTGGTAGTATAAGGAACACTTTCGAAAGAAAAATATACGTTGCAAAACATTTGATATAAATTAGTACATGAAGCTGAGATATGATAGATACACATTCAAAGATACTTGGGAGGGATTAGCAAGCATCATTAATATATTTCAGTATCAAGTTTTATGTTACTTTCGTCCCAAAATTATATATAATCCAGATAGAGAACAACTAAAAGCAAATTATACTTTTTTGGGACGGAGGTAGCAGCAACTTTCTTCACATCATTACGTGCATATGGACACCGTAAATTATACTTACCCGATCACTTAGATGTACTTACGTAATGTTTTCGGGTTTTGCTTTTTTTCGTTGTAAAAACAAATTTATAAACAATTTGTGAAGGGGGAGTAACCCTTGGATATGGTTCGCAACAAAATGTACAGTACGTTATCAGCTACGGAGTAATTACTTTTCTCTCAAACATTTGATTGATGTAATGAAGATAACTCATCACTGACCCCTCTTGAATTCGTGCATCTTACTTCATCATTTCTGACCATTATTATCAAGTGTAAAACTTTCGGGTTCCTTGCCTTTCTTTTTCTTTTCCTTTTTTGGTATATATTTTGGCGATCTAGTATAGTACGCTAATCATGTAAAAAAGGAAAAATGTAGCTAGGAAAACATTAGTCACCATTGTTTATGGCGGACCTGAATCATGAGTATTATTACCTCGAGATGATAATCAGAATCTGACAAAAATCATGCATATAAATCCCAGAACTTGAAAGTAAACCTGTTTCAAAATGACATGAAAAACATTAATCGTTCCATCATCGTCTTTTTTCGAATCTCAACGAGAGGCTTCTGCTTAGACCCGCCTAGAATTACACAGTCTAAACACAATTAATGTTAAAGATTCTAAACGACGAAATATTGCTTTTTTTTGTTTTGTTTTCCCCCTTGAGGGATGAGGACAATAGGTCAGTTTGATGCTGTAATGCAATGTACTTATTCTATGAAAATAACTGTACCAACGGGGCACTGGCAATCAGGTAATGTCCCTTTCAATATTCAAAGCTAAGCTAATGAGGGAATTGGATTATCTGGATCTTGCAACCCGTCATTTACTTCTGCATAATTGATCTGCACTTTTGTCTTCCTATCAGGGGCAGCAACTGTGACATATCCGTTTGCGGCATTGGAAACTTTTTATGTAATCTTTTGTTGTTTTGTAATTCAAGGAAGAGATTCTGACTTCTACTCCTACCACTCCAAAGTTCTTGCATTCTACTCTTTCCTTTCTGACAAAAAATTTGGGGCTTAAACAAGTGGCAATCTCTATTCCTACCACTCCAGGTTCTTGCCGTAAACTAGTCAAATTCATGGATGCTGTCTAGCTCCAAGATGATTGAGACTGAGAACCCGGGTCGACAAATCCTGTAAACAATGAAAGGCATGCCATCCTGCAGGTACCTGAATTGGGTTCACAATGTTGGACTAATCTCATCAAGCTGTGCTTTTAGAAAATGGATGATTGTATGTATAATGCTGCTCTCCTTTGCTCTGCAACTAATTCACTTGTTAGGATCCATGTTTTGCGATACAAAGGAAAAGATCCAAGGGAAAAGTGATTGCTTAAGAGTTTAGTACAGATGAGATACTTCTCTTTATGTCCATAGATTGCATTTGCCAAGGCCAAAATGTACAAAGTGTGAGAACACAGCAAGTTGTATAGAAAATCAACTAACATTAATCTTCCAAGCCAAAATACAGTATGTTACCTATGCTTATGGACAAGAAATCATTCTAGCTAGTGAGTTATCCTAATGTTAGCGCTAAAACAAATGGGAAACAAAAACAAAAGAGAAAATTTACCACACAAGAAGCAAAAAAAATAAAGATGAAACTAGGAGAAAGAACAAGGGGAGACAAAAAAAGGTGCCCTTTTTCTTTTATCCGTTCTTGGATAATTTACAGGTTTTACACAAACCCTCTGAAGAACTGTTTCATCTATACATCAGGGACAAGCGTGTACACGGACAACATCAACGATTGGAGCTTGACAAATTGGACATTTCCCGCTACTCTGCTGCAGGTTCTCAGCGCACTTGAAGCATGTGCACATGTGCCCACATCTGAAAGCCATCGGAGGAGATAAGCTTTCTGAAGTATGAAACGTTTTTTGAAAGTAAAATTAAGTTTGCCAGTACCTGTACAGTAGAGAGTCTATTTGCGTTTCATAGCACATATAACATCTTCCTCTGCTAGATTTCTTGCTGACAGATGAATCTCTTCGTTTCTTTCGTCCTGTGGAATTATGAAGGATTATTAGGTATACCATTAGATTCTTATAATACTCTAGCATTGAGGAATAACCGAATAAGGTACTATTTCAAAAATCAAAGCAATCAAGTGATCGAGCATTATAGATGATCTAATCTAATTGAAGTGTTCTTCTAAGTAGCATCTAGTAAGGAGTTTTTTGGGTTTCAAAAACACCTCTAGTTCGGTTTCAGTGTAAGCATGCAATAGATTGTTTGAAGTCGAGAAAAACCATAGCAATTCAAGAATCACTGCAGTCATTTACTATTTGTCAGTATGTTGCATACCATAAATTAAATTCTATAACCGACCTGAATGACGTGGAGAATTTGATGCATCCTGTGTCATTGACTTTTGCAATTTCATCTGCATGCTAATGCAGCTCTTTAGTGATCTTCTTAGTTCTGAAATCTCCTGATGGAGTTGCTCCATGTTCCCTCTCATCTCATACATGAACTGCATTTCCTGAAAGTATCGTTACTTGTCATCAATGATTTTCTAAATGCTTAAAAAGACAAAAAACTGGAAAGGAAATAGAACTTACTATTGAAGGATGATTTGTGAAGGAAGAGCTGGGCTGAGTTTCAGGGGAGGAAGAATTGAATGTGTGAGATTCTTGGGAAGGTGGAAATGAAGGTGACCCGAAATAATCTTCTTCATTGTCGTCGGATGAAGTTGCTTGTCGAGCATCATCATTAGACGCATTGCATTCCTTTTCACTTTGAATCTCCTCTTCTTTATCCTTTTCACATTCATCAGTCTTGCTTTGTATCTTTTCTTCATTTTCTAATTGGCCTTCATCAAATTCCTTTTGTTGTTCTTCTTCCACTTCCACATTCTGTGCTTCTTCTCTTTCTACCACATAATCTGTTCCTTCGTCTCTTTTTACCCTGCTGACTGTTGGACTTTGTGGTTGCTGCACGCGAGACATCATCAACCGGTCTATGCTATCTTTCAAACCACTCGAAAGGAAACTTGAAACACTTTTTCTGGAGATTCAGTGGGAAAAGTGAGTACAAATAAAACCAGTGGGTTATTGTCTGTACACAATCTAAATGTATGTCAAATGCAGTTGAGCATGATCTTTGTGGTAAAAACAGGAACATTTGCAAGTTTACATACTGCTGCTCAGGCAATGAAGATATGACTTTTGAGAGTGAAAGATTCTTCCATGTACATATTGCTTTAGCATCTAAGTGTCAATCCAAATTCAGAAATTACAATAATTTACTGATTCTGAACCGTTATTGGTCCACTAAACAAACCTTTCTAAAAACAAACATCTGCGGATTACCAACGCATGAAAATGAACATCAATGCAGACAGGGCATGTACTCCAACTAAAGGTATTATAGCAGAGGTGTATCTAGCAAGCAAGCTGTCTTCTAACACAGAAACTACGTTGAAAAATATTGTTTCGCTGGAATTTCGCTTCTAGAACTACTGAAGGGCCAGATTTGCAAGAATGTACGTTTCATCTATAAAACTTTATATATTTCCGGTATCCAGCAGCCCTAACTTTGATTTTGTAGCTTAGGCAGGAGTGAGTAAATAGTGCATATTTCAACGATTTTCAGTTTCATCACAATAAATGTTGAAGCACCTAGGTTATCAGGAAATATAGAGAAACCTATACACTGAAGTGAAAAAATAACCATTTGCGAAATTACCTCTTAAGGAGTTCGCGTATGTCATCATTCTCCGTGAAAGGATCAAGCATTTCCTGGTATCTTGCCTGTCTGAGATCTTCCCAAGTACTACGTGGGCGAGAAACATCCCATATCCAGTCTTGGTTACTTTCTTCTTGTGGCTCATAGTAATCCTCTATTTCTTCCCATTCATTGCAAGGATGAGAACCATAAGCCTCCTGGCTACAATGACTTTCTAAATTCTGCTGGCTCTGTGCCTCTTCCAAATAATCTCCTTGAGCTTCTTCATCAATTGCATCCATATACTCATCGCTGTTTCCTGTGAGCTGCTTGTTTTTACACTCTTCTATCTCCGAACATTCACTCCCTAGGTTATTTTTTACAGAAGGTTCTTCTAGTGTGAATCCATGCCTTTTATTGTTTCTGCATTCTGAATTCATCTCTTGCTGTGTGAAATCTGAGGTTGAATCATCTTCTTGATGGAGAATTTCAGACCCCTCTTGCTGGCAGTCATTCTGTTGCACCACTGTGTTGGGATCCTGGTGATTAAAATCTACAACTGCATTGGTTCTGATAACTATTTGTGCATCTAAATTGTCATCTGACACATTCAGAGATTTTGTTTGTGCTGTAAGTTCTTTATGATGATTCTCTTCTATCTGCTGATTTGTCGCAGAAAACTTCTTCTCCTGTTGGACTTTTTCTACAAACTCTTCCCCTTGTTGACTCCTGGAATCAGTATCATTAAGATGAACTCCTTCATCAAACCTCTGCCTGAAATGCCAGTCAACTTTTGAGTTTAACTAAATGAAAAAATATAATGGTTTCAATGAGTATTATGATGCAATTTCTGGGTTCCACAAAGTTTTCAAAGAACAATCTACAGTGCTGAAATGTATGCTACTATTCCATAATCACATTCACATCATAGAAGGCACTTTAAGAACCCCCTAATAAGAATAAAGATGATGAGTGAAAGAAGAATCGTACATCTTGCTCTTGGGCATTAAGGTTAAGATGTTTGGTCATTATATCAACAAAATTCTTTTGTTAAGCACATGAAGAAAACTGGAAAACCATTGATTCTCTTTTAAAGGACTGTTGAGGGAATTCTAACCTTAAATGTGAAATGGCAGATTGGGCAAATCTACTTGATCCAGAGGGCATAGAAATAGTGTGCCGAGCATCTTTTCCTCCACCTCCGTGTCGCAAGAATCTAAGCCGAAGCATAGCCTGGAGAAACCACAAGTTAGTTCATAAATTGACTAAGCTGTTTATAAAGAAAAGAATTTACTGCTAGGAAACTGGAAGTTACCTGAATCCGGCCTTTGTGCGAAAATCTTGAAACAGCTTTGCTATCAGCAAGCCCCTCGAGCTCTCTTAGCCTATCTCGCTCCATATGCATCAATACATCAGCAAACGCTTGACGCCCTCTAATCCGAGGTGTACAAGCAACAGGAGAGAAAGTTCTTAGGTCTGGCTTATCGACTGATGTTCGAACACGAGGCAGTGATTGATGGTTAAGATCATTATGATTTTCACCATTGGAGCTCAGTTTTTTTATGATATCTGCAACTCTGGTCTTATCTTTCTCTGTAGCATCAGAATCTCTACTCCTCACTGAAGGCGGTCCACTAAATCCCGTCTGATCAGATTCCCAATCAAGAAACAAATCCTCACTCTTTGCTGGAGTTGCTGGCCTCAAATCAAAAAATTCCTCACAAGCATCAGAACTTCTGCTGACGGCCTCAGTGACTGACTCGTTATCCGTGAAAAACTGCACCGAATTGCTCCTAGAGGTGCAAACAGGTGAGTTTGTTGCGCTCAAGCTTTTTCCCTCGGCCTCAATGTCTTTCCACTTCTGCACAAGTGAAGAAACACCACGGGAACTGGGGACCTCGACCGAAATTTCAGGAGAATTCTCCCTCTGAGATCTCGAATCAGGGCCTGATACTGTTCCCTCTTGGCTTTTCCTCCTCTGAAATATTGGAAACAGCCGTGATGATACAACTTCCCAGTTCCGTCCCCTTTGAGAAGTCGAAACGGGACCTGCAGCTGAACCATTTTCTGGGCTCCTTTCAATATTAGAAGCTAAAACCGCTTCTGCTGATGCATTTTCCTGTAACCTACCCCTGGGAGAAGAAGCTGAGACAGGACCAGATGACAAATGATCTTGCCTCTTTCCCCTTTTAGAAGGTAAAACTGGCCCGGATGAAGCATCATCATGTTTCCTAATGTTCCTTGATGATGATTCCTGGATTTTCCTCTCAGATGCCAAATTTCTTGCTTTATCCCATTTTTCGCCTGCTTTAGTTTTCTTCATAACATTCTCGTTGTTATTTCTTTGCGGATTGTGAACCCATAAATCTGTGTAATCCATATCAGGCTGAGAATTCTCATTGGAATCTGAGTTCCCAGACATAAAGTTACTCCCCGAATTCTGAGAATGAAAGTCATTCTCATCGTTGTTCTGCGGACTGTAAACCCATAAATCTGTATAATCAATAAAATTATTACCAGAACCAGAATTCCTAGAATGACCTGAAATGCAAGAATTCAGGTGAGAATGAACCAAGTCCTTGAAATTCTTCTGAAAGGCATTGGAAGAATCCCGGGTCCTGTATCGATTTCTATCCTTCAAAACATACCCAAATGGAGAAGAATTCGATGCGATCTCAACCTGGGAAGATGCCATTGTTTCCCCTAACGATCCTACACCGATAGGAAACCTCAAACTTCCTAAAGTTTCTAGGAATTTCACAAACTCTGGGGAAGAAAAGACCCCATTCGATTTATGTGGGAGGAAAAACTGGAAAAGACTAATGAAGAATAACAAGAACCAATCAATAGTAGTTAAAGAAAAAGAAAAGGAAAAGTCGAAAACCCATAAGGCTGTAAGAGCTGTATCAAAGCTGCTAATCAGCCTCAAAACCACATTTCTCATGAACAATAACAACAACAACAATCACCATAACAAATCATCTGTATTCTCTATCTCTCTTTCTCACACACAACTCATCTGTGTCAAAAAGTTCCAATCTTTTTTGAACATATGAAACAAATGTACACCAATGTTTTCCCCTTTTTTTCCCTTTTGTCTAAATTTAGAAAAACCCAACAAACATAACAAGAGAAAGACAACGACTTTAAGGTAGGTAAAAGAAAAATAAAAATGGGATGTGTGTCCAAAAGGAGCGATTTTTATGGAGTCTTTCAAGCCAGAGCCGCTCAATCAGCTGAACCCATGTTTTAATCAAACATTTAATACACAGCGGATTCCTCAATTCAAAAAATTATCCTGATATTTTTGCTCCTCAATAGAAGAAAGAAGAAGGGTCAATAAAGAATACTCTGGATCCCGGGAAAAACGACACCTTGATCAATTAAAATGGCGGGACTGGTTTTTGTGGCTGAAAATTCAATGAGCCAAAACATCTGTTGCGCTGAGTGTGTGTGTGTGCGTGGAATCAAGATGGGATTTTGATAAGGTGATCAAAGAATCAATTTATCAAACAGAACACAGGTGGAAGATTCAGATGAAGACAGAGGAGGAGGGAGAATGTGAAATTGTGGTTTGAAAGTTTGAAGAAGTAAAACTAAAATAATATCGTAAAGAGGACGACAACATCAACATAGAAAGGGAGGGAGGGAGGGAGAATGAAATTGATTGGTACATGAAATCGGATTTTTTTTTTTTAATTTAATTTTTACGATATTGAGTACTTTTGATGGGTTTTTGGTTTGGTGAAAAAAGAAAGAAGGGAACCCAGAGCGTGAAGGAGACGTTGGATTTTATTAGCCGTTGAGTAGGGCCGTCGATATTGTGCATCATTCGACTATTTCTAAGATTCATTAGCAGTAAAGCAAAAGAGCCTTTCCTTTCTTTTTGTCTTCTTTCCCAAACGTGCACACACGTCCCGATCTCGGACAATCCCAAACTTAGTGATTTTCTCCTCTAATTGGGGGTTATTTCCCAAAAAAAATAATTAAAATAAACGTGGATAAATTTAAATTTTTCAGAATATTCGTGAACAAAATAATATCCCTCGGATTTCCGAAATCCGAGTTCTAATTAAAATTAAAGATTCGGATTTCGTAAATCCGAGCCTATATTTAATAATAAAATAATAATTAAATAAATTTTGTTGAATAATAGTTTTTAAAAATTCTTAAATGAACAGTACCGTTCGGATTTTCGGAATCCGAATTTAATTAAAAAATAATAAATTAAGGCGCGAAATATTTGAACTCAAATAAGGAGTCCAGGACCTGGAGTCCTTAAATAAACAGTAGTCCTCGGATTTACAAAATCCGAGTGTACAAAAAGAAAAAAGAAAAAAAGAAAATCGAGGCGCGAAATTTTTGAATCCAAAAACCGGAAGTCCATAATCCGGTTTTCTGTATTCGGATTTTGGAAATCCGACTGCCTTTAATTTTGGTTGGTGAAAGTAAGCATGTGCCATAAATTGGAGGACCAAAAAATGAATAAAAAAATCCGGAATTGACCAAACTCGGATTCAGAAAATCCGAGGCCACGGTAATTCGGATTTCTAAAATCCAAGTTACTTACGGACTCGGATTTTGTAAATCCGAGTTTAACGTGCTATAAAAGAAAAAAAAATTCGGATAGCTCTCATTCGAGAACTGAGTTGGATTTTCTGTTTTTGCAACTCAAACAAGGGCGAATTGGAGCTTTTGATGCATTCTTGCCTTTAGATACGTGGGAATCGTTATTTGAAAGAGGTTAGATTGCAAAACCATGTTATTTAGTTTAGTTTTGTGTTATTTTGATTGTTAGAATGATGTATGATAGATTAAGGTTTATGTTGGTTGGTTGTTTGGATATTTTAGGTGTTGATTTTGAGGTTAGAGATGAGAAATCATAGTTATTCATGAGATATGGAAGTTGATTTATAAGTATTTTAGTATTTTATAGGTTTTTTGAATTATGAATGGAGTATGTATGGTGTATTTATTGATTTTGTTATTAAGAAATGATTAGTTATTGATGTTTTTTTTTAACAGTTATCAATGGCACGTAATGTATCATACATGCTTCATTTGTATCATACAAGCAAGTATGTGATAGAGAATGGTAGCATCAACACTTTTTCGAATATGCCGGATGATGATTTGTTTGTTGAGGAAAGGTTGTCATATGAGTGATTGATTAGTAAGATTTGTATGACACTTGGTTGGGATCTAGCACACGCGAAACTCCACCTTTCTTTGATTTTCGATAGTCTCGGTGGTAGGCGTGTAGTGAAGATCAAGAATGATTCGCATGTAGAGTTCATGAACCGTGTAGATCCAATGTCATGTTTGGATTTATACATGGATTTGGAAGATATCACTCAAGAAGAAAGAGAAGCGAGTTTGGAAAACGTGTCATTTAGTGGTTTTCCAAGGGGGGAACGTGCTAGTACTTCTCGAAACCGTGATGAAGAGGAGACACCTTTATTTGCACAAGATGACTACCGGGAAGAGTCGGATTCCGACTACATAGCACTAAGTGAAAGCGAAGAAGACTGTGATGTCTCCGGAAAGAGTAATTTTGAAGAAAGTGATGATGAAAGGTTGGAAAATGAGGAAAGGGATTGTAATCCATTGCCCCGACGCCATGTATATAGTAAGATGGGGAAATGGGATGCCTCATGTGTGGACAAGGATGAGTTTACTCTTAAGATGTAAGATGGGACGCCGAAGGAATGGACATTGGTGTTTGTTTCAAATCTCAATCAGAAGCAAAGCATGCTGTGAAATTATGGAACATCCATCATAAAAGGGAATATACGATCGCCGCGAGTAGTTCAACGACATGGGTTGTGCGGTGTAGAACATTAAATGTGGAAAGTGAGGATGGTGAACCACCATGTGAGTGGAAGATGCGTGTGTTTTTGAAAGCTCACGCCCTTCATGAAATTGTGAGATGGCATGATGCACATAATTGCATGACTCCCGTGAATGATAATGGCAATCGGATGCGTCTTTGATTGCTAGACTCATCAGGAGAAAGGTTGAGGACAACGTAGATTATACGGTAGCTTCGGCACAGAAAGATGTGAAGACTTTATTGAAAGTAGATGTGCCATACAAAAGGGCGTGGCATGGGAGGAGGAAAGCTATAGAAGCGGTCTATGGTGATTGGACCTCGAATTTCGAAGAACTTCCATGGTAAATATCAAGGTTTATTCGTGTATTGAAATATTTTTAGTGTTTTTTTTTTACATGTATTGAAATATTTTAACTATGACTTGTTTGTTGTGTAGGTATATCGCTACGTTTAAGTTTACTAATCATGAGACTGTAGTAGAGTGGGAATGGAAGGAGGGACAAGAAGGTTAGAACAGGAGAAATAAGACATTTAAATACGTTTTCTGGTCATTTGCACCAGTGGCTGTGACGTTTTTTAAATGTCCACCGGTCATTTGTATCGATGGAACCTTCTTGCGTGGTGGATACAAAGGTAAATTGCTTGTTGCTGTGGTCTATACCGCAAATAAGCACATTTTACCGGTTGCATTTGCGATTGTGGATGAGGAGACAGTAGAGAGGTGGACATTTTTATGAGGAATTTGAGGTTGTGGGTTGTGTATGATAGAATCGTAAGTGTGATATCCGACCGGAATGCGTGTTGAAGATGTAAGTACTTGTAATTTGGTATTTATATTTATTTTGAATTTCTTTTCATTCCGGTTATAACATTTAATAAAATTCTTTTCGTGCAGTTTCGGTGACAACCATATGCACAGGTCCTTCATAGACTCCCTGATTTCTGTACACAAGGCCAAGCCATTTGAACGACCAGTTGTTGGATGTTCTGTTGGGCTATTAGGGAACCCCACGAGTCGGGCAGAGTTGTGAGACAATTTAGATACATACAGGATGTTCCCAAGCGCCCTATGATTAAAGATAACGCAACATTTCTTCTCGATCGCGCCCACAGTATGTGTGGGTATCCTAGCAACAATTGGGTGGACCACCATTCCGCAGTACGTCGTCATTGGAATAGGAGAGAAGAGTACATGCTACGCGATTCAGAGGAAGGAGACCCTGGCTCCGCATATAAGGGGTACTATGAATGGTTCATGGTGAACACTGTCAGACTGATATCCAATCCCAAAAATTATAAACATCAAGGATACGAGACTTCTTCGAGCCGAGTGAAATTATATGTGAGTTCATTCTATATATTTTTTTTATTTCTTATGTTTTCATTTTATTTTTTTTTATTTTTTTAGAATTTTACTCTCTTAATTAACGTCCCAATTTCTTTTCAGGGTGAAGTATTGAACAACATTCGCGTGAGTTCCGAGAAGTTTAGAATCTCCTAGACGAAGAACTCGACAAGCATTTGGACGATATCATCAATCAAACACATGCTGATTTAACCTTGGGTGCAAATGATGAGATGGAGGTAGAGGATATCCAAATCCTGGTTGATAAAGATTCATCTTTGCCCTCACAACCTCCGCCGGGTAAAAAAGCGAAACCATGGTCGAGAGATAAGATTAGAGGAGGAAGAAAGAGGAAGGTCCCAATCCCCCCTCGGACATCGCAACAACAAACTGAGGGTCAACAAAATGAGGATCAAACACATTCTTCTCGAGGCTCGCGCATCCAGGTCGAGACTCAATTTGAAGACATTAGTGGACCCGAGACTGAGTTTGACCTTGGTGGACTCAAGACTCAGTTTGGTGGACAATCGCAACCACAACCGGGAGTCAAATTTCTCACCATGTGGGAGTTCCAATCCCAACCCCAACCCGAGCCTTAGTTTGTCGCAACCACAACAGAGTTCAATACTCACGTATCTTAAGAGGGGAGACAGGATCCGGCAGGGCCCAAATAAATACACTCCGGATGCGCACAATAAAGGAAAGGAAAAAAAATGAGACCTTTGATGTATTTTGCACATTTAAAGTAGTTTTTGTATTGATTTTGGTCTGAAACTTGATTTGTTTTGTTGTTAATCGAATGACGTTTATTGTTTTGTTGCCATTAAATTTTTGTTTTCCAATGTTTCATTGTTGTTGGTGCTGTAAACAGGTTTAGGACTGGTTAAAACTAGTCCAATTTTTTTTGGTCAGTTCTGACATAGACTCGGATTTGCGAAATCCGAACTCAGACTTTTTGTAAAGGATTCAGATTTCGTAAATCCGAGTATGTAGCCAACTGAGAGTTAGCAATTTGCAGAAAACAGAGTAGATTCGGATTACGTACATTCATTTGGATTACCGTGATCCGGGTTTTCCCAAATTTAATTTTTCAACAAATATTTTTTTTCTATCCGGAAATTAATATTTTATTCATAAATACGGATTTAGAAAATCCAGATTTAGATTAATTACACTAATTTCTGTCATTAACTTAATATCGGATTTACGTAATGCAAAGTCGGATTTCTATAATCCGAGTTTAGAGAGATTCGGATTTCAGAAATCCGAGTTTACCCCCTATTCGGATTTCCTAAAATCCGGGACATATAAGTTTGTCCACCAAATTTTTGGAAGGTTTATTTTTGTCCAGGTATATTTAAGGAAATATATTTAAGGAAAAAATTCCTCTAATTGGTACTTATCACTAATGAGCTCGGAGTATTTTTTTTCCATCCCAAAATGATAATCGCGTTTATCTAATATGACTCTGTAATCACTTCTTCAAAAATTATTATTATGTTTCTTTAGTAATAATCCGATCAGTTTCTTGATTCTTCATACTGGAAAAGAAAAATTAAGAAAAAAAAAAGAGTCTATGACCTTTTTCTTATTTTGTTTTCATAACAAAATATTATTTGACCATTACGGGATGCTATGATAGCTTAAAAAGTCTAGAACATTCCTTCGTCTTATCTAAATTTACACTTTTTCCTCACTCATGGTGTTGCGATTTTAGTCTGTCCAAAAAAAGGACTAAAGCTTACGACTCAATGGAACTTATGATTTAATTATGAATATGCTTCAAAGTACATATTTCTTGTGTGTACGTATCTGAGCTTTAACATTAAGGAGCTATTAGAGATTCTTAAAAGCTAAACCCTATGACTCTGTAGTTTAAAACTGCCGAATGAGTCAATGGATGTGTGTGACTGTATGCCATTAACCGATGGCACCCTCACATATTTTTTTAAGGAACCAAAAACACCTGAAATATATATTTTCGATGTATAATAATACCCAAAAAAAAAAAGAGAAAAAAATTGATTCCTCTCGACAAATTAAACTTGACCAAACGAAAAAAGTTTATCAACCGAGCGACTAAAAAACATTTAGACGTGAAGAAGACAAACATGCATAGCACGAGGGGTACATAACAATTAACAACCATATGTAATTATGGGCTTACAAAGTGACCATATTTGATGTACAAAAGTGTTTGTAGATTCTGATGAGTTTCAACATTAACTAAGGAGGGAAGTACCTAATTCCAAGCTAGAAAAATTGGATGAAGGATAATAATAATTAAGGATGACGTAGAAGAGATTTTGAAAAAAAAAAATTAGAGAAGTATGTTTTTTTTTCCTTAAGTTCAAAAGGGTAAAAACTAAAAACTCATGTACCGGATTGTGTCATTAGAAAATTCAGAAATAATGGTGCTTTTGAAAGAAATCCTCAAAAAGCTTATAGAAAATCCTACAAAAATCAATTTGTTCTTTTATCACAGATACTGGTCATAATTTTTATATGCACATCAACTGAATCCGATTAAAAGTCAGTGAAAAGGCTGAACTCAATACTGTTTAAAAAATTGTAAGATTTTTTTCTTGTGTTTTGTGTATATTTTTCTCTATGAAATTCCTCATCAAGTCATCCTAATTCCAAATGTATAGAGGGCATATCGTTTTTTTTTCTTTTCTTTTCTCTTTTTGTTTTGTTTTTTTGTAATTTTTATTTTGGGTTCAAATTTACACAAAATCGTAAACAAAGTACAGGGGCTACAATCATCATTTTGAAAACCTATGGGGGTGAGAGTGATATTCATGGAAAGAATAGAGCATAACAAAGGCAGGCAATGAGTAACCAGCTAAACGACTGAAGTGAGGGTCAAAACACAGAGTCTGGTCGAAACCCCAAATCGGCGACGGAGAACCAGCAATCAATATGCCGGCAAGCGCTACTCTAATCGGAGCCCTTTTGGGATTGGGCACCCAGATGTACTCCAATGCCCTCCGCAAGCTTCCTTACATGCGTCGTTAGTGCCCTTCTCTTCTCTGTCATTTTCATTTTTTAGAAGTGATTGAAAATTGAACTCCAAGATTGGGTTTTTATTATATGCCGGGTGATTTTTATTGATTGGATTTTATATTGTTTTTTGATTTGCAGATCCGTGGGAACATTTGCTTGGAATGGGATTAGGAGCAGTTTTTGCTAATCAAATGGTGAAGTGGGATGCCAAGTCCCGTGAAGATCTCGATAAGCTCCTTGCCAAAGCCAAAGAGGCCAACGAGCGACGTTACTTTGGTATTTTCTTATTTCTTGATTTTTTATTTTTTATTTTATATTTATATATGTGTGTATATATATATATATATTTTTTTTTTGGTGTCGGGTTAAGTTAATTCATTCTGCTGATTCAAAGACTCAATTTTGTAATCAGGTTGCCTAAAGTTTGAATTTTGTTGTCTAGTGTCTACTTTAGGTTTCTAATGTGCTGCAGTTTGTGTTTTTGATTGCTGTATTTGTTTGTTCAGTAATTGAAATGCATACACAGTGAGCAGTGATTTCTAGTTCTTGTTTGGTTGCATCTTCTTTTGCTTCCGTAATCGATAAATCAACTGTGTAACTATTTTTTTGGTGTTAAACTTCTTTGTTCATGGAGTACGACTGCATATTTTCCTAGCTGAGCATATAAGAAATAGATAGTACTGTAGGTCTATCTAAGCAGCTCAAAATTTGCTTTTCATCTAATATGAAGCCCAACTAAGTACCCTTTCCCTGTTTCGCTAACATTTTGATGGAATTCGGGGAAATGAAGTCTGTTGGAATGTTTTGTGTCTTGACTGTGGTGACTTGCTCTTTTCCATTCTCGCTTGTGGATTCCGATTCTTTCCTGCTTTTTTCATGTGACATATCTGGTGCTTGAACAAGCTTACAATTTTTTCTTGCCTCTAGTATTTTAGTATGCTTTTTCATTGTTTTCTGTATTATATCTGACATCATATATATGTTAACCTATATAGTCTTTGATAAATCAATTTTGAGGAGCCATGGTTGATGTTTTTATTTATAATTGATTAGAAATGTGCTCCTTCCGCACTGTTTGGTTGATTCTGGGGATTTGTGAGTTAGTATTGTTTAATTCTGTCAATGTAGTTAACATGTTTGTATCTCGATCATGAAGGCATGAACTGTTTCTGTAACAAGGTTACCTGTACTGTCACCTCTCAAGTCAATTCTGATTGTGATTGCGAAGATTGGTTGAATTTTTAGTCTCATGCTTTTCTCTTCGCACATAGCAGCAATCTTCAAGCTGATGTAGCCTAATCTAATGTGATTTTCTCGTGTCTTGTATGTGATAATTCTCTCTAAGATACTTTTGGAAGATAAGTATTGTTCTCGAAAAATTATGATAAATTAGGATATACCCTCTGCTTTTGTTGGAGACTTTTCGATGAACAAGTAAATCAGATGGCTTCCCTAGAAGTAAACTAATGTTAGAGTCTTAATATGTTTGGTGTATGCGGCCAAGTCACCTTAATTTTTTGTAGGAAACCCTCTGTTTGTCAAAATTTAGGATGAAGTTTCTTTCAAATTTCTTTGGTTCTGGTATAATTCACTCTTAGCTTCTTCCTTGTGTGTGGTTTTCTTCCGAAAGTGCCAAAAGAATGCCTGAAAATTTCTAGGACAATGTGTTAAGCAGCTCTGTAGTTAATACTGCAAAGACAGTGTGATGTAAAAATATGCAGGAAAATTTTGGTTTTTGGTTCAATTGTCATAAAGCAAGAGTTACGATTTTACTTGAAGTAAATTTTTCTTCTAATACGGGCCAAATGGTCAAATATAAACTCTTACTAATGTGGCCTGTCACTATGTTTGTGCATAATGACCACTAGTAGACCAGACTTCTCAAACATTCTATAGGTATAAATGTTTCGTGGGATATGAGCTCTTATGTCAGTGAAAACATTTGCAAAAGAAGAACCAGGAAGCAACAATCTCTTGAGAATAGCTCACATCTTTGGGAAGGCAGGAAGCTTATTGTAACCACTGATAGTGAGGAATCTTGAATTGGGGGTGTCTCTAAACAGTTTAAATGGGTAGGTTAAGGTAGGGTTATGATGTGATGGAATTGGTATCCTGTAAAATGCATACTTACCCTTTTGGTGATTGAACGTTAGAACCTAGCACTTACATGTTTTTCATGAACTGCCTTGAATATTGCAAATCTAACTACTACTTTTCGTAATTGAGGTTTCACCTTGCCTTCATCATCATGTGTCACTAAAAGTCACGTTGCTTGAACCCTGAATCTCATTCCAAGCCAAATATATATATATATATATATATATATATATATATTTCTTGTATAGAGTTGATTCACTTGCCTTCACATTGTTGATGAAACTGTCAAATGTCGCCTCTCATTGCCACATATGCAAAAATAAATGCTTTCCTAATTTAGCCATATGAACTCTTATGTTCAATTATATTGTATTGCAGATGATGACGAAGATTAGAGCTCAACAATAATGAGACTGTGATTGGAGCCATTTGTTAGCAGATTGTAGATGTTTGTGCCTTTCTCTGATTTTTCGCTTATAGTAAGGTCATAGATCTTAGCGCTCTGTTGAGATTTATGGTGTTATTGCTTTGAAGTTCAATCTTGTTTCAGAATTGGTCAGTAGCCTCCTCATCATCAATAATGATATGTATTTTAGCTGCAAATATTGCGCCTTGCATTCACACCCCAAATATGAAATTGTTTTTGTACTCAGTTTTGATGCATTAATGAAAATATTGGAATCTATTCACTTGTCTACAGCACTTCAATTTCTTATTTTAAGGAGCACTGTAGCTCAAAAATTATGCTAAAATGAGTAGTTATTAGTTAGGCCTGCACCTTATTTTGCTCTGCATCAATAGGAGCCATTAAGATTTGATGTTTGTAATCGAACATTTTTCTTTTTCATAAGATGGTATTCGTTGATATTAAAATTTAGGACCTTTGAATTGAGAATCAATATCCTTCTCTTACCGCCGCCCCTGCTTACTTCTAAGTTGATTGATATTAGAACACAGGTAGATCATGGGTCTTCTTGTCTATGTTATTTTCACCTGATACAGATGATTTAACCACTAATAATTGGGATATCCCGGCCGAGAGCATGATTCTAGGAATATTTGCAAGAGCTTTGAGCAGCTTGGGATGTGTGCATTGTTTAGAATCAGGCAGGACCTTAACATAGTGATAGAACAGATTCAATGTATGATATGGGGCTACAAATTGGACAAACGAATTGAGTTAGCTAAAAACGAATTTTGATCTCAATCTTGTTAGCATACCAAGATGTTGACTCTGCAATTGCAACTGTCATTTACTCATAATACCTAACATAAGTACCAAATAATCACTCCAGGGAAGACTATACATATGGATCAGGACTCATTTTTTCAGTGTGTACCATCTTATCAGTGGATACATGGAGTAATGAGTCACATGCTTGCCGGGAAGTAGGTCTTTCAAAAGGTGCCGTCTTTGTGCATTGCAATGCAATCTCTAGCACTTGGAAGATGGTATTTTCTTCAGATGGTGACAGTGGTTTCAATGCCGAATCGATGATCTCCTCACGAGCTGATCCTTGCATTTCCATGTGGGATTCTACCCATCTTACCATGTCAATGTCCTCTCCGAAATTCCCAGCAGTCGGCATTCTCCCACTGACTAGCTCCATGAGCACAATACCCATGCTGTAAACATCACTTTTCTCCGTGGCTTTCAAAGAATAAGCATACTCTGCAAAGAAAGAGCTTGTTAGTGAACATTTCTAGAAAGTAACTCTAATTCAACCAGGTTAAACTTAGATCAGTTTTTTTTTACCTGGTGCAATATAACCATAAGAGCCTGCAAACCATAAGTTTGAGTCAGTATCAACAGAATCGTAGTTGCTGGTGAGAGCTTTTGCCAATCCGAAATCCCCCAAATGCGCCTCCATATTAGAATCTAGCAGAACATTACTAGACTTAATATCCCTGTGAATGATTTTAGGCGCACAATCATGGTGAAGATACTCAATACCCTGTGCTAAGCCCACTGCTATCTTCAGTCTCGCTTCCCAGTCAAGGATTTTTTTCTTCTTGTGATTGATTGGTTGCTTGTGTAGCCAATCCCACAGACTTCCATTTTCCATGTACTCGTAGATCAGCAAATTGCAGCCTTCCCCTTTGTTGTTGCAGTACCCCAACAACTTAACCAGATGCCTGTGCCTGATCCTACCAAGCGTCTTAATTTCTCTAGCAAAGCTTTTATCCATCATGGGATCATCCTTTCGACGTATTTTCTTTATGGCCACTGTTTCTCCACTAAACAATTCAGCTTTGTATATAGTTCCTGATCCTCCAGACCCGATCATAAACTCCTCGCTGAGATTGTTTGTGGCTTCCATTATGTCTTCCCACCTGATATCATGTCCGACAGCATGGTTTTGAAATAATGGTCGCTTTTGTGCTTGGGAGGATGAAGTAGAAGAATAGCCGTAGCTCCCCTCCTTGGCTCTCAACATGGCTTCCCGCCGGTTTTTGAAGAACAGGGCAGCAGCTAGCAATAGCAATATGATTGTAATTGTTGTGCATACGGCTGAAATCACAACCACAGTTGACTGACTTAGACCTGAGTTCCCGCCAGACTTGAGGTTCTTGCAGCTGTCAAGAGGCTTTCCACAAAGTTGTAAATTTCCAACAAACGCCTCAGCAGGCCAGTGAGAATAACCCTGGTCCAATTTCCCTTGGAGATTATTGTAAGAGAGGTTAAGTCTGTCCAAGCTCATCATCTCACCGAGTTTATGAGGGATTTCTCCAGAAAGTTCGTTTTGAGATAGATCAAGTACTTCAAGTTTCGACAGGCTACTGATGGATGATGGGATAACACCAGTGAGTTTATTGTCACTTAAATCTAGGATGCTTTGGAGATCCTGCAAGCTTCCTATTTCAGAAGGTATTTCACCACTGAAACTGTTGTGAGCTAAATGAAGTTCATAAAGCTTGCTTAAACTCCCAATGGTTGGAGGTATAGGACCAGAGAGTTGGTTTCTATCAAGATTAAGGACATTGAGAGACTTGAGCTGACCAATTTCAGGAGGAAGAGTGCCATTCAGTGAGTTATCACTGATGGACAGAACCAGAAGCCTGGAGGAATTGAACAATTCTTGAGGAAGGGGTCCCGAAAGGCGATTAAAGGAAAGCTTCACCTCTCCCAAAAGAGGCAAAGTTCCAAACCAAAATGGAATTGGTCCAGAAAGAAGGTTATTATTGAGATCAATGTGGGAAAGATTCTTGCATAATGAAAGCTGTGTTGGTATAGAACCAGTGAGTGCATTTCCTGAGAGGTCTAGAAGTGAAAGTCCCCTAATAAAACCAAATGTCCAAGGAATTTTGCCAGTGAATTGATTGTTCCCTAACCTTAACCTCTCAAGAGCAGGTGAATTGCCTAATTCTGGTGGTATTTCTCCATCAAATGCATTATCAGTAACATCAAATGAAAGAAAAGAATGCGAACTACAGAGTGCAGCAATGCTACCATTTAATTTGTTTCCAGATAAATTCACTCTTGTCAGGTTTGAGACTTTGATGAGTTCACCTGGAAGATTACCTTCAAGTGAATTGTTGTAGAGCATGAGCTGACTGAGAGCTTGAAGGTTCCCGAAAGTCGGAGGAATTGATCCTGACAGCCGATTGTCTGCCAAATCAAGAATCGAAAGCTGATGGCAGTTCCCCAGACTTGCTGGAATCTCTCCTGAAAGATCATTCTGTCTGAGGTGAAGAAAGTTGAGCTCCTTTAGTCTCCCAAGTGTCATTGGAATCTGCCCTGAAAATTGATTCCCAAAGAAATCAATCATCTGTAGGCTGGAACAGTTACCAATTTCTTCAGGAATCTCCCCAGAAAACTGATTGTCATAGAGATAAATAATCTGAAGATTTCCCAGCATTCCAATCTCTCTTGGCAGAGGGCCCTTCAAATTGTTTTGGTACAGTGCCAAAGTCTGCAAATTGGTAAGGTTGGCAATGGCAGGAGAAATTGAACCAACCAAGGTGTTGTTGTTGAGCAAGAGATCAGTCAATCCAACTAACTCATACAGCTCTTCTGGAATTGAGCCACTCAGAGTATTATTAGACAGATCAAGTTGCTTCAGTGCCTTGCAATCTTTCAACTCTACAGGAATTTCACCAGAGAGTTGATTTTCACCAAGCATTATGTGCTCCAAATTGGTAGTGTTGGAACACAAACTCTTTGGCACAACACCAGAAAGATTGTTACTTGACAAAACCAAGTAGTTGAGCAGACCCATGTTGCCAAATTCAGCTGGAATTTCACCAGTAAGCTTGTTTCCAGACAAGTCCAAAGTTCCAAGATTATGCAAATTTGACAATGATTTGGGAATTGCACCTTCAAGCTGATTACCAAGCAAATTCAGATAAACCAACTGACTCATTCCCCCAAGCTGGTCAGGAATCTTCCCTGAGAGACTATTATTAGCAAGATTCAGAGTCTGGAGATTCCCAAGACTCCCCAATTCAGATGGGATTGATCCATTCAAATAGTTCAATGCAGCAGTAAAGACAACAAGGCTAGAACAATTGCCAACCTCAGATGGAACAGGCCCTTCTAACTGATTCTGCTGCAAAATCAAGTACTGAAGTTGGGATAATTGTCCCAACTCTGGAGGAACAGGACCACTGAGACTGCATGAGGCCAGACCAAGAATGGCCAAATTTTGGAGATTCCCAAATGAAGCAGGAATCTTTCCTGTGAGGCCATTGTCACCAATTTTGAGAATCTGGAGGCTGATGAGTGAGCCGAGTTCAGGAGGGATGGGACCAGAAAGCTGGTTAGAGAAGAGAAGCAAAACTTGCAAAGAAGAAAGGTTTGAGAGAGCAGTTGGGATGGGACCAGAAAGCTGGTTAGAAGAAAGATCAAGTTGGAGCAGGTCCTGCAAGAGGCCAAGGGAAGGTGATATTGTCCCACCAAGTGAAGAATCAGAGAGATTAAGACTCACCACTTGAAATGAGCCATCAGCTGGACATGAAACACCAAACCAAGTACAGAAATTTGGGTTGCTATTGGACCAGTCTTTCAACACATTCTGTGGGTCTTGAAATGAATTCTTCACATCCAAAAGTACTTGAAGAGTTGAAGAAGGAGCAGAGGAAGAGGAGGAACTCAGACTCTGGCAAGATACAAATCCTCCAGTTGGGTTCAAAACAGAGACTAGAAAAATCCCAATAAGAAATGATAAAACTAGTCTCAAAGATGCCATCTTTCTTCTCTTTTTTGGGCTTAAAGAAAGAAAGCACAAAAAAAAAGAAAAGAAAAAAAGAAGAAGATATTGTTCTATAAGGTTGATGAGCTAAAAAGAAGAAGATGATGATGGAAGAAAAGGGAGGGAGATTCAAGAATATAAAAGGTTTGACTGTGGGAAATTGTCCTGTCGTCCATCTTCTTTTCTCAGATGATTCTGTGCATAGAATCAATAAATGGACTGTTTTCTTGTTGGCATTTAAGGAGGACAACCACAACTGTAGCTTTTGCGTCAGTGCATGCAAATTTTTTTTGGCTAATGTTTCTTCAAGAAACGAATGGGAAATTTTCTATGAAAGACTTGTAGGTTTTTTGGTATTCGGACAAACTTAAATGTGGAAGAAAGGATAAGTAGAAGTGGAATAAGAAGAAGAGGAGGAAGAAGATAGAATAGCAGCTACAGCTACCCTGCCATAACCATATTATTAATGGCCACCGTTCTCCTGTTCCATTTAGAAATGGAGAGAGAATCGGGTAGAGAAGACAAAGAAGTTGAATTGAATTTAATTGAATGCAACTTTTTATAATGTGATTGGTAAGACAAAGGTCAATTAATATAGGAGGAGCCCAAAAAAAGAGCTAAGTTAACAAAACCTATTCAAAACATTAGGGTTCTTGCTTTATTAAATGTAAGAATAAAGGGTTGGTAGACTAAATACACAAGTGTGAATGAATGTGTTTTGTGGGATCATAATGTTTGTGAAAAAAATAATTTTGATACTCCATCAAAATATCAATATAGTCATTTATCATGTCTGCTTCTTTTATTATTAATGATGGTTTAAAAAAAAAATCGATAGTGATTCTCTACTTTCTCCACGTATGACTCAAACGATATGCAATCTAGATACTGAAAGTGATTGTAAATGTGTTCATATAGGTTTTTTCTAATATAATATGACATATATACCGTGTTACAAGTTGTCGTCCTACAATATATTCTGTTACGAATGTGAATTACATAGGGGAAGATACAGTGGTTGAAGACTGGGCCGGCAAAGGAGAATCTGGCAGTAGTTTGAATTTGCCAGTTTTGGTGAATCAGTTCAAAACAACTACAAATGCATAAGAAAGGTGATCGGTTGGATTTCCATTTTATCACTTCATACATAGTTTTGTGGTAGTTTTTTCTAGCCTCCTTGTTGGGGATGAGGCAATACAAGAAAACGCAGAGAGTCAATTATGAAAACCAAATTGATCAGGTCCCCCACAGTGATCATCAGCAACGAAACAAACTTCCTACTCTATTATCCTTTTTTGTGATGTTACGTTTTCAATATCTTGTGCAAAAGGGAAGCTAGCAAATATTCTTTTTTTAAACAAAGAGATTATTGGGTTGGAGCTACCAAATCTGCGTGTCCTTTTGCAGCGCTTCTCTGCTGTGTTCTTTATTTTTGCATAATTTAGTTGTAAGTTTAGGGATTAGCTAGCTAAGTTGCCTAATCCAAAATTCCAAAAACCTCTCTTTTGCCCACTAAACTCTTCATATACTTTTTACAATCATTTTGGGACGGATGGAATATGTTTTTTTTAATTTTTTGTTCTTTGACGTGCTTTAACTTATGCAAGGATCATAGCACCTACTTCCAGAGAAATGCATTTTAAACTCATCTCGTCAGCTCATCAGGTTGAATTTGCTTAGATTTTCACGTAATTCTATCATCCAAAATAAATTCATCTTGATTTGTATTTGGTTGAAACTTCTGCACGAAGTTGCACATTTAAGCTATATTGTGTGTGTGCGTGTGTGTGAAATGCATGTTATCTGAAATTTACAGTCTTTTGGTTAGTTTAGGTAAACTTGTTAATTACTTTAGTTAAGTGATTTAGTGATCGGCATCGACATTTTAACTTATGATTTATTTCAAAAAAAAAAAAAAGTTAGTATGATTTATTGGACAAGTTATGATCTTTGCCTCTGCTCATGGAGATGTGGAGTGGTAATTAACTTGTACATTTAACCAATACTCCTAAGTCTCACCCAATATGACATACTCAATAATATCTATAATTAATTAATGGCTTATGCAGTATATATAATTTATATATATAGATATAGATATATATATATATATATTCCAAATTATACGATAAAAGTCTCCTAATTAATAAGTGCTTTCATATACATAGACTTGAACTCGAGCCAAACTTATTCCTTACCACTTTGACATGGAATATTGTTGGTTGAAAGTTCTATTTTTTCATTAAAAAAATATTATTGAATAAAACACCTTAAGTAGATATGTTTTAATAAGAGAACTCTTGGAATATCTCTTTAATTTGCTAACGCACAATCCAAAATTGTACCACATGCTTTGTCTCACAAATTAATGTCATGTTTTTTTTTTTTTAACGTCGGGAATCCAATCAGAAATGGGTAAACCCACGCCCACTGCAATAGCCTGTAAACTACAGTGAGAAGTAAACCACCCTAGGCAAGCCCGGGGGACAAGCTCGCTAAATTGTTTCTATTTAACCAAATTATCTTCAGCATTGGTAGTTGACTATGATTAATTAACCTAACAGTTTTTTTAGTAATATTAATTTTCTTATCAATTTAATCTTCATGACATCTTTTATAGTCCCCATATTCTGTTTCAGCGGCATATATTCTCCATGTTTAATTTGTTCTTACTCGAGTATATATATATATATATATTAAAGGAGAGTTTTCAATCGGATACATAGCGTGATATTAGATAGGCTAATCCATGTGACTCAAAATTAGAAAGCCAAGTCTACATGTCGCAACTACATTACTCCATCATTTAATGGTAAATTTTTAATATAAAAGTAGTCAATTCATAGATTTAAAAAATTATATTAAAGGAGAGTCTTCAATCAAACACATGGCGCGATATTAGATAGGCTAATCCATGTGAAAACGCACAATTAGAGAGCCAACTTCACATGCCACAACCATATCACTCCATCATTTAATGATAAATCTTTAATGTAAAAATAGTCAATTCATAGATTAAAAAAATTAACTAAAAATTACAAAAGTTAATCATAATTCAGACGTGTATCATTCAACACAATTCACTTTCCACTAATTAACTTAAATTAAAAATTCACCGTGTATCGTTCAACATAATTCACCTTCAACTAATTAACTTAAATTAATAATTCACAATAATTCCTTTTTATAAGTGTGATTGTAATAAAATTGGAAATACTTCTTCTCCAAGAAAGATTCAAGGGCTTCTTGCTCTTTATAAATACGCAAACCTTAGCATAATAGTATCAAGCTCCTCCGGCACCGCAAACATAATACTCGCACATATGTCATAACCACATCGCTAAATTATTTAATTCTGTAAAATTTATAAATAACTAATTTCATCCGATTTAAAAAAATCTATAAATAATTTATTACACCACTTGATCATCAACAAATTGATCGTAGAACGAAACAAATATGCATCAAATGTGCCAGCCCAACCACTCCCTATTTGATCCATATTTGATCGTACTTTCTATTAGTTTTAAACGTTTATTGGCAGTGTTCATGAAAATTCATCGGATGCTTTTCTGGAGGTTTTTTTTTAGTTTTTACATATTTGTCGTCGAGATCGTTCTTTCAACGTGTTATTAGTTTGGTTGTGGGATATTAATTTATGTGGTCGTAAGAGATGTCTTGGGATGAGTTATTAGTTTTGTATTGAAGAAACAATACAAAAAAAAAAAATTACGGCAAATATTTCTTCATGAACCAATCTATAAACACCATCACAAAGAAATTTGTCTGTACGGAAATTAGTTGAGCAGAAATCATCATCACCATAAGTAAGACATATAATAATCATCAATATATAATTCCAACCAAAAAATCAACAAAGTGTAAAAATGTTCTAACGTTTTTTTTTTGGAAATTAATCCACATGAAAGTGGACAACAAAACTGAAATAAAAAGAAATTCTTTTGTTTTTTCCAAAGCAAAAAGCTCTGAGACAAAATCCAAATTAATTTGAAAATCTCAATATATTCAACAACTTGTGGACAAATTACTTTCACTCCAATCAAAAGTAGTACATAATGAAAATGGAGTTTAGTTTCCAAGTTTTGCTTTTCTTATTACAGTGAATAATAATACTTTTTCGATCAATTTCTTTCTTTTTTTCAAAATTTATTCATGCAAACTATTAAAGACAAATTCTACTTACAAAAGAATATAGCTAGACATGTATATCTTATCAATAAATTATAAATAAAATGCATTTTCAACATAGTTTCATGGTTTTGGTTTTTATTAAGAATATTAATAAATTCAATTTCGTTCAGGGGAATAAGTATTAAATTAAACTAATTAAATATCAACATCAAATAAAATAAGTTTTAAGAAAATGAAATTATAAGAAACAAGTCTTTAAATTAATTTATCCTTTATAGTATTAACACGTCCAGGTTAAAAAAAAATAGCCTGATGCAATTTTTCGGCGGTCCATAATCAAATTTGATTCATCGCAGTTAATAGAATTAAATCTCTATACCCATGGTTTATAATTCTTTTTGGACTTTTTCTTTGCATATCAATTGGAATTCAAATGTGGCATGTGAATTTCATCGAAGAAGATTCATAATCTGTACCCAAAAAAAAAAAAATTATTTAGATGATTCATTATATTTTTTCATATGATATAATAGTAGAAAAAGTTAACATTACGATGATCAAACAAAAAAAAGTAGGTATCAAGAAGAAGAAAAGTTTCCAAATTGAGAAAAAGAATAAAGAATTTTGTGAAAGACAAACAATACAAGAAAATTATGGTGAGAATTGAAAATAATTATATGAGGAGAAGAGAATAAAAAAATATGAAAAAACAAACCGAGATAATAGTGAAAATATGAAGTAACAGTATATTATAGGAAAAATATACCAGAAAATTTGTAAAGAAAAGTTGTAAAAGATATATAAAGTGATGAAAAATAAAGATAATTTTATGGGAAAAAAATAATGAGAAATGTTAAAGGGAGAGTTTAAAAGATATTACATTCAAAAGATTATATATTTAGAAAGATCATCATGAAAAATTAAGAAAATGCTTTTAAAAGATATAAAACCATGAATTAACAGAACAAAAAAATTGGACAATAACTTACAAAATATGATTTCAAATATTGAAAATTATTCCAAATATACGTAAGATAACAAAACATGTTGACATTAAAAATAATATAATTGTAATTTATATCATTAATATTATAGATCACTCCATCAGAAAGGTCATATAATTATTAAATCATTAAATTCATATATATCTTAAACAACCTGTACAACGTGTGGGATAAATACTAGTACTAATTAAAAGGATTTTGTTCTGATCGTAATGCCATCACTTCTCACACTGAAATTAATTATGTGACAGATAGTTTGATTTCATCTGGTGCTTTGAGTTTTAGGATGATATAATATAATATAATTAATATGGCCTTTCAAAAAATAACCTTATACTTAGTCTTTTTAAGGCTGTAGATTGATGCAATCGATTTTTTTTTTCATTTTAATTTTTATACCAATTTTTCTTCTCTATAATCAAATCGTATTAAATTTCTAAATGTTTCATCTGAATTTTTAGGGTTTAAGCGTAGTTTTTTTTTTTTTTTAAAAAAAAAATCGTATCAATTGAATTGTTGCGTGCCAGGTTATTTCTATAAATTGAGTTACCGTTTCAGTAACATACC